GGGTATATAGGGATATTACCCCTATAATGGAGAATCAAATGGAAAAGAACATGGAAAATGAAATGGAAGCTGGGATTATATAGTAGTAGGGTTTAGGGTAGTATTTTATTTGGGGATACTATAGCCCCCAATATAGAGAAAGATTATATCCTTCTTTTTTGTGTTGTATCTTATAGAATAATCTTTGAGGATTGGCTCAACCATCAAAAACGCTGCTCATTTGAGTAAGAGGACTGTTGTGATTCAACTATGTGTGGCCGGACCCTAAGCCCCAAAACCCTGACTGGTCTCATGCCCAGAACAGAAATCGCAGCAGCGCAGGCGGCGAAGGAGCCAACACCTATAGCACACAAGGTCCCGAGGACGCTTCAGGCGCAGTTGTACGAGCATACTGTGCAGTTGGCGGCACTTAAGCCGTGCACCAGCCCTGACAGATCTATTGGATCAATTTGGACTCTTCGAACGATCGCCGTGCTGCAATGGAGAACATGTTCGCAAAGCTTGGCGCGTATCTAAGTTACACACCGTTAAATCTGCAAACGGCAGCGCAAATATGACGGATGACCTGAATGAGGTGAAACCAAGCCGCCGACACTAACTCTACAGGTGACTCGTGTGCCTGCAGTGACTACGTACGATGTCAAGGCAAGCCTTGCAAAAGCACGACAGCTACAGAACACCAGTCTCCATGATGGCAGGCCATGCAAGCCAATGGCACGCTTGCCGTGGAAGCCATGCTGATCGATGCATGCTCAGAGGCATGCCCAGAACATCATGCCAGGCAGGGGCTAAGTGAAGTTTTTTGATGCCTTAATAGTAGTCTCCATTTTATTTTCCATTATTCCAATATAAGCCTACTATAACCCTAATATTACCCCTACATAATTATAGTAGTTTCCATTTTCTTTTCCATTATCCCAATATAATCCCCCTATATATCCTTACATTTTCCCACCATTGGGCCTAAACCCTAAGCCCTAAATCCTAAACCCTAAACCCTTAAACCCTAAACCCTAAACCCTGAAATGCAAGCTTCGAGCACCTTCCGAGCTGCAGGGGAGAGCTGCTCTACACCGAGCTAGCCTGCAGCCTCTCGCACTTGAGAGCGATTGAGCTTGCAGTGAGCCAAGGCCTGTGAAAATGCAAAGATTTCTCGCAGACTGTTGTAGAGTCGTTATTCAAGTCGGTTGCAGGAAACCCACCACTAGCTCTCATCATGGAGGCTGCTGCGTGAATTCCACTCTTGCCGGGTCAACTGGGTGCTCTCGCTTGATGAGCGAAATTTGGTGCTGGTTGCAGGATGATGTGGAGATTTACCCGGAGTTTGGAACTGACTTAGAGAAGTTGCTCGAACAGGCGCCAGCCGGTTGGTGCCTCGGACATCGCTGTTGTGCCACGGTGGTGGTTTCGGCTTCTGTCGGCATAGCAGATTGTTTCAGGCTGGTCGGCTTTGCAGATGTCCACCGTCAACACGAAGGCAGCTGCTAAAACTCCCAGCGCATCCTCGATAGCTTTTCAGTTGGACATTGCTGAGGCCATCTTGCAACTGGCAAGTTCAGCAACGGTCTTCCAACCTCGGGAAACACACTTTTATGGGACTGGGCCGCTCGGTACCAGATCCTCCTGCCATGCCTATCAGCAATATGAGTAAGTCATGCAAGCAGGCAGCAGGTTTCCACTGCAAGCAAGATGAAGCTTGCCGCAGCCTTGTGCCGGTCAGGTCCTACATAATTGCTCAGCATGGGGCCCAGACGCGAGACTTGCATGAGCATTCGGTTGATCGGCTGTGGACACGAGCAGAACACCCACCACTTGCTGAGGTCAGCAATGGAGCGGCTTAGGGACCGCTATGCAGCTTGACCTTGGAATGTACATCCAATGCGTTCAAGTCGGCGTCGCCACAGTAAGTGGTAAGTCCGGGATGGTCCTTAAGCCCAATTTTTCTAAGGCACGGCCTTTGACATTGCACGGTAGTCTTGCACTCAGTGACCTGCTCTGAGGCAACTCGCCATTTTGCGAGAAAGCCATGGCTCCCTGGAGCTGGATCACTCCAGGCATCCCTGTTAAGTGGGGAATTGGCAAAGCTGGTCAACGCCTGCCTTGACTGCATGGAGATGGCTTGGGCATTGCGAGCACTGTTGTACCGAGATTGTTTGCCGGCAGGCGGAGGGAATTCTTTTCGGCGCGCTTGTTGAAGGCGGGGAGATTTGCAGCCGCGCTTCATTGCCGCCGGTTGGATTGCATAGGGCACGGCCTTTCAACGTAGCGCAGCATATAGGACACGTCAGTGAGCAATTCGCTGCATCTTCATCCTAGACTCGCTCTCGGAGCACCATTGCTTTAGTAGGCACTGAGCGCGGGACAACGTACAGACACCACAACAATGAGCCATCAAAAGGCTGTTCACGCAAAGCCCACCTCTTGGGTTCACGTCCTGTGGGCTGTGGGCTTTGGGGCGCATGTTTGCAGAACCCGCGCCAGGTTTGCTTGAAAGGTATTGATTGAAATGTTGAGGGTGCTGTGTGGGCTAGAAAGCTGATGACTTGTGGAAGGCTTCTGTGCTTTGAGTCTTCATCGCCTGCCGAGCGGCCTTCCGATGCCAGGCACAGTGTACACCAGCACGCACTTTTACTTCAACGTGATGGAGTTCCCGACTACTGTCCACGTGATGTCCAACTCATCTGAGTGGTACGCAGTCTCAAGTGTGTCTTGGCCAATATGTGATGCCTCCATGTGAGAGAGACTCCGCCCGCGCCATACGAGAAGCCTGAGCGAGGGAAGTTGTCTCAACATCTCGTACCGTCTAGGTTGCGTGGCAGACCAACTTCATGCAGCGCCATCGCGGGCGGTTGCTTCCGACCAATCCTGCTTTTGGCACCCCGGAAAGACTTTTGAAGCTGCCCGGAAGCAAGCAGTTCAGCATCGACAAGCCGCAGGCGCACAATTTTACATTGGAGCACGCCGGGCTTGCAATCGAAATTGCATCCGGCTATCAGAAGCTTGAAGCAACTCTCAGAAGCCTGGAATACTCTGAGGTCTTCTTTCCTGGCCATGACAACGCTAGTCTGTCGCAACAACACCGGCTTTGATGGTGAGAGTCGATCCATTGCTGCGTCTATCCGTGCTTTGACGCCCTACAACTTCACCTGGGCGGTATACGTGCCTCATCTTGTAATTCAGACCGCGAATGACCCCAGGTAATCTCTCGAGATTCCTAGGTCATCATAGCTGATGCCTCGGAAGACGGCAACTGTCCCGGCCTAGAGAGCTTCCTGGAGCTGCGGCGGCCAAACGTGCGAATGTTCTATCGTCCCAGCCCCAGAAAAGCACTGAAAGGCTGTCGGATTCTTGTTTTTGCTCAGACCATCTTTCGTCATCTGTTGTGTTTAAGGAGTCTCCCCTGGCAGATTCTCGAAGTGGGCATGGTGCTGAGAAGTAGCGTCATAAAGAAATGTACTTTGGACACAGCGGGAAATCTCGATGAGTTCAGGTGTACTACACGGAAGACGTAGAGCAGTTCGCGAACTACGATTACCTGATGGTCTTTGATGCAGTGCCATGGCATTATGCGTTATTGGACGCCGCAGGTTGCAAACGAGGCTTCGGAATCTGAGGACATGGGTCTATCAACCTTTCCGTGGGCAGAGTATTTCCGGCGCTATGAAGACTATGCCTCAAAGTGGGGATTTGCACCAGTCACTGGATCCGTGTCATGGCCGGCATTTATGGTGAAGCGGCAAAACTGCCTCGAAGAGCAACCCCTGCGCAAGCCCAGCATGGCAAAGGGTTCGCAAACCAGCTTTGGGATGGAGAAACACGATCAAATTTATGGGGGGCCTTGGGCAATAACAGCCTGTGAAGGTGCGGAATCGCTCGCCTTTCTATCCACTCAAAGCTGACTGGTGGACGCGCTGCAATAGGAACAGGACAACGGCACGCCTTCATGTAGCAGCATTTCTGAAAAAAAACATGGTAAATTCGAGACGATGGATGGCAGTTAAGCTTGGGTGGCCTCCACGGAAGCTTCGAGGCTTTGCAGATCCGATTTTGCCACTCTTGCAGATTGAGTTGGAACCGGTAAGCTGCGTAAGGGCATTGAAAGCAAAGCCTCATATGGCTGAATCATCAATGTATTCTGCTCATTACTTTATTGCTATTATCATTACTGTTATAATTGGTGATGTTTAGTACAAATGCTATTGCTATCTATTGCTAATACTTTTAATATTAAGATTACTATTTTACTATTGCTCATTCTTACTACTATTCTGGCTTCACTTTGTCGCGCCTTGTGAGGATCCGATTCATTGAGACGGACTTGGTTGAACAGTGGCTGCTGTGAGTTGATAGCCAGACGTTTGCGCAAAGCCTTTGTGATTCAAACAGGAAATGGAAGCATGGTTTCTGTCTCTGTCCTCCAAGGTTCGCAATGCTTAGTGGAAATTTTGCGACCTGGCCCCTCGCATTTACTGGATAAGGGGAATACCGCTTGCATTGCTGCCTACCTAGAGCCGTGCAAGTTGGCCATGCATCTTGAGAAAGCTAGTGGTTGGGTTCCTGCCTGCCACCAGCCTGTTAACTGAGGTATCTCCGCAGAGTCGTCCACATCTTGGGGGCATTTGTTCATCCGAGATTGTGCTCGCAGATCTCTCTGTGCCTTGGTAAGGTGGATACTGGCATCATCATGGAGCAGAGAACGTTGGGAGTTGACTGGGGTGTGGACTCCACCTGGTGTGGCGCTGCTGCTGAGTGGGCCAATCGGGAGGTGCTCAGTTGAGTATCGCCAGTATTGTACTCTTAGGGCTTGAGATAACGGAGATAGCGCACGTCGAAGGCCGGCTGCTTGCTTATCCCCATCGACATGTACCACGGCGACACAAGAAGTTTGCACCAGGAATCGTCGTTAAGCCTAAGGGAGGGGGTCGTTTCTACACTTCAAGCATTTTCCACAAGCATGCTGGACAGGATATCGTTTTCCATCAGAACGGAGAGCACTTGACAAACTTGTGGCCGGGCACTCAGCGGGCATCAGTTTTTGGACGGCCTCATGCCCATGACGTATTGGTTCTTTGTCGGGAATAAAGGAAAAATACTCCCCTATAGAATATATTCCCATATTTCCTACCCCTATATAACCCTACATAACGCTATTAAACCTCATATAATCCCGTGTTCCCTATTAAGCCCCTAAACCCTAACCCTTCACTCCCTAAACCCTAAACACAGAAAAGGTGCGAAGGGGAACAACCCCAAACCCTTGTTGCCAAGGTGGGAAAGGTTGCCTGCATGGATGCGGGTGTCACAGGTGTGGCTGGGATCTTTTTTCCAGGAGATGGAGCGACGCTGTGTGGGTTGCTGTTAAGGAACTTACGTAATTTGAATTACCATATTGGGGAAACACTATGAGTTATTAGATATATGTATACATATACATATGTATATACATATATATCCATTATGGTAAACAATTGAAGTTCCTTAACAGCAACCTAGGAAGCTGTACGGGATGGTGTGTGGCCTTGATTAAATTTGCTATGGCCGTCTGCAGGATCATATGCTTGGATGCTCCCCGTGTGGTTTAGAAGAACGCTCCTGGCTGGCATGAGCAGGGCTAGCATCGGCAACCATGGAGCAACAAACCTGCCACTGGATCCACATGTTCTGAAGGCTATCATATGCCTATCGATTTGCGTTCCATCGTCCCGGTGGTGCCAACGAACCTGCCGGACAACATCAGCCATCACAACGTTCCTCAGAAAATCCGTTTGTGCTCACTGTTGCAGCATGTTAGAGTTAGAGAGTACCAGGCCAGTTAGATGTTCTTGTTAGGTGCAAGCTTTGGACTCTGCATCTGGATCTGCTTACACCACGCAGCTCGACCGCAAGGGAATTGTTGAGGATAGGATCGTGGACTCCGGAAAGTGCCTACCTGTCCAGCCAGTTAGTGAGCCCTAGTCGGCCAATGCTTGGTCGTCTTAGCGCCACACGAAAACAGTATATGCAGGGTCGACCAAGGAACGGCAACAAGACCAACACCAACGGAGCTAATAGCTCCAACTCCACAACTACGACAGAAGAAGCTGAGGAGCGTAGAAGAGCTGTGCTGTATTGCCATGGATGCTCTCATGCTGGACTCGCTTTATGCCTTTCCAGGACAGATCAAAGTCGCCAATGCTGCAACTAGCAAGCATTCTCGCAACTGCCATGGCTCTTCTGCAGGCCAAATTGCTTGAGTCCAATTGTTCTTTGTTTTATTGCCCTGATGGCCGCAGGCGTTGTTGTGAACTTTGCCAGATGGCTTCTGATCTCTTGCGTAGCCGCGGCAAGTCAGAGGTAGCTTCCTTGAAGTGATTCTGTAGCGACTGAGCTTATCATTAAGTACCGTTCCAAGAAAAGCAAATTCCGTTCGCTGGTGCTTGTTGGTGCCACATGATGCTGGTGCCCTCTCAGACGGACTTGCTGGACGTGGGTACAGACAACACTTTCATCCATTTCCTCGCCGAACCTCCGGTTGCCTTTATCGCAACGTGTCCCGGGCAGCGAGTGCAAGTTAAGAGGATAATTGCCATTCAGCCACGGCATGTCATCACCTTCCGTACTTCAGCCCCTTATCTAGTCCATAATAAGGAACCCATGTCCGTTAATGCTTTGGGTAATCTTGACTGTAGCTCACATGAAATCTTCCTAATACTTGCAAATTATAGTATACAACCATGGGGAATTGCAGTTAAATGCAAAGTCAGGCAAGCCAGGCAGTGATTGCTAGGATTTGACATCCAAACTTGCCTCGCATGTCTGTCAGTTCAGTGATGCAAAATGCATCATGGACTAAATGCTTCTGCTGCGATTAATGGAAGTGATGCCCGCCTAGTTTTTTCAGATCCGGTGGCAAATCTCCCCATGCCGAGGGTTGCATGGCACTCGTAAAGTTCCGGGAGAGGCCTCCAACGCCTCGGATAGTCGTTTCACACTCTTTTGAGAGGGGCAGTTTGGAGGCCTGGCTCATAGCTCCAATTGATTGCTCCCGCTACCCAGCGAAGACGAAGACATGGCCAGGTTTATTCAAAATGTAGCAGCCGCATCGATGCTCACATCCAGAGGGGTGCGCCTAGCTATTCCTTTAAGGAGCTTCCAAAGATGGGGGGTCCTTTTTTGGGTTTGCATACTGAGAAGTGTAGCATTTTTTGGGGGGGAGTTTTGACGGATCCCAATTTTTGGAAATGCTCCTGTGATGCATTGCTGGTCAGGCAGCACAACAACTGGCCCGAGCTGGTCAGATGGCTTCAGCCAGGACAGGTGCAAATCCTTGCGAGATTGCCTTTCAATTCCAAGGCCGTGCTCAACACGAGATTTGTTCAATCTTTGCCTTCCTCCCTTGACCATACATCCTGGCAAATTCGTTCAAGTGCTCTTGTCCACTTACTTCTGCAACGCCCCTTGCCGCATGCCCCGATGTCGCAGCGCTATGGCTTGGTGATTTAGCGATTTAGTGGAACTTCCTGGTAGCCTCCAGCTAGTCAGGAATAGTCTTAGCCAATGGCTGCTCACGAGCGTCATGAGCGGCGATGCAGAGCAGCCTAGCTTGTGTGCAGTTCAGGCTTTTGAAAGCAGGTAGGTCCTCCTGCTGTCCTCAGTATGTGGGGGTTCTTGCACATACCCTTATACATAGTAGCTTCAATGTGATTTTCTTTTGATTCTCCATTATCGGGGTCCTCTTAGTTTAGGAAACTACCATCTAGTCCCTAGCAAGGGCTTATGATTTCCCAGCATAGACTCCCCCTTAAGTAGATAGAACATGGCTTTGGGTATAGTATAATAAGATGCCCCTATGCCCCATATTCTATCTACTTAAGGGGGACTATACGCTAAACCCTAAGTAGTTTCCATTTTTTCCATTAACCCAATATAATAATCCTTATATTCTATCTACTTAAGGGGTACTATAGACTCAGGCTCTCCTGGCTCTGACACTGCTCAGCCTTTGCGCCCCTGGCGCCGTTTTTTCTGCCAGCGTTAGCACGGAAACACCACCTCCAGGATCTCCAGGTCGCAGCCCTGAAGGGATTGTAGGGTTTAGGGTTTTGGGGAAAATCTGGGTTATATAGGGTTATATGATAATAGTGGATAAGAAAGTCGAATCTACTATATTATACTAGGGTATAGATTGGGGTTAATAATGGGAAAGAAAATCTACTATATTGCCTGAAGTGTGGACATGCTTGTTGTGATGTCACGTGAACAATTCATTACTCGTTTGCTGTGCCGGAACTTCTGCACATGCACTGTAAGAAGTATCCTGTGCTCGATGGGCCTAAATTGGGTACTGCCCCCACTCATTAACAGTTGGATAATGTTTATAATATGCTTATATATAGCCCTTAATATGACTCCTATTATAGACTGTTAATGGCTGGGGGCAGGATCCAAGGCCTAAAGCATGTGAGACAAGCAGCTGTCAGGAGTGAAACTGGGATCGATGCGGTTCGACCCGCCAGAGTTGGAGTTCAATGATGAACCTTGGAGATGACGTGGTGGACTTCCCGCTTGTCAGCGTTTTCGCTTGCTTTGTTCATACCTTAACTTCAAATCATCAACAAGCAAGTCCGTCTTAATTCTGGTTGTGGGGTTCAGGAACAGGACTTCCCTCCCGACTGGGGCATGCCAGATGGGCAGGAGTGTTGTTCTGGCCCCAAAATTTGATCTATGAAATGAACCTTGTGCTCCGACAGCTTCTATCAAACCACCGTTCAATCCTTGCAGCCCGAAATCTGACTTTCAAGCTCCCTTGAGCTGTCACAAGCGCGGCGAAGGCGTTCCTGATGCATGCATCCCCGATCTAGCCAAGGAGTTGACTTGTGTTCCTCATCACTCGCAAGTTCGCATCTACTGCGATGGCTGCCACGCCATAATCTCAGTCGAAGCTTGGTCCTGAATCGTGTTTTTCATGGCTCCAGAGCCTTAGTAGAGCAGCATACCAAACCAACCAGCAACTATACCTCGAGCGCTCCATTTCTGTGCAGCATTGTTTGTGATGACCTACAGGACTCCGTTTCTTCAGATATGGAGGCCGTCTACCCGGCGCTGGTGCCGAAGAGTGGAAAGCAGCCGAAAAAGAAGGGTAAGTCACCAACCATTGCCGCGACCTCATTTGCCATGTTTCCTGAAGTCCAACATTGATGAAGTGTGGGAAGAACTTGTCTTTCTTCGTTGGGATTGCTGTTGGGCCATGCAGCAGAGCATGTGGAGGTTTCAAAAAATTGGACGTCCCTCATCTAGCCAGGAGTATAGCATATTGCATTTCAGCGCGGATTGAAAGCTTCAGTCAGCGTTGCATGGCAAGTCAGCGTTGCATAGCAGGGGGCAATCAACCAGGGTACAAGCGGTAATGCTGGAACTAGCTTGCCCGACTGGAATAGTAAACGTGGTGACACGCCAATCAATTAAGCTAAAGAGAGCGCTTCGAGCCTGGGAGACTCCCCGCGGAACAGTCTCCTCTTGCGGCGGCATCATGCAAATAAGCCATTCCACAAGCATTGCGTATCATTCCCTAAGTTCTACTGCTGGTGCCCTTGTCAACAGCTGTACTACAGCGACAGTGTTGCAAACCTGATTTTCAGCGTTACTTCCAACTTCTTAGGGTCTCGCAGACAAGCTGCAATGATAAATCCCCAACAGCATGGGAGATAATTGGGTCTATTGGGCAGTGGCACTTGCCTGAAACCCTTAAAGCCTACAGTTTCCCTTAAGTAGATAGAACGTGGGGGAAATACCCAAAGCCATATTCTATCTACTTAAGGGGGCTATATGGAAAACAACCTACTTGATACACTATATAGTAGTTTCCATTTTCTGTTCCATTATCCTTATATAACCCCAATATACTATGTGATTATTTCCATGTACGGAGAACAAGGGCATCATGTCCTTAAAGCCCTAAACCCTCAGCCCTTTGCCCTAAACCTTTGTTCCGGATTGAACCTCGCGATGCTGCCTCAGCCATGCAAGTGGCAAAACCAACAAGGGCATCATGTACGTGATGTTCCTGGCGCATCAGCCGGGAGAAGTGCGTGGGCGAATCTCCGTGAAAACCACTGCAGGAGCCAAAGCTGGAATTGAGCACCAGTTTAAGGCTTAGGGCTTAGGGATCAGGGTATGTTATCCCCCTACAACGGAGAATCGACTGGAAAAGACAATGGAAAACGAAATGGAAACTGGGAGAGACATAGGGATTTAAGGAACTTAACTCCAGTCAAACTACTATATTGGGGAAACCCTATTAATTACTATATATACCCATTGTGGTAACTTAAACTAAGTTCCTTAACAGCAACCCAGTTTCAGTCCGAAAGTCTGCTTCTTTCAGTTTTACCAACGCATGGCTAGCTATTTACACTATAGGCAGGGCCTTTCTGATATAGTTGCTCAGAGGTGGGGTTCCAAGTCGCCTGAATTGAATTCTAATGATCCGGGATCCGCATCAGGGTTCAGGGTCTAGGGTTTAGAGTTTGGGGTATAATATGACCCCCACGGATGCTGCCCAATAACCCTCAAGCAGCAAGAGGAAACACAGGCGAATCAGGCCCGGCAACATGGGGATTTCCAGAAATCGGGGGCGCGTTTGGGGACTTCCTATCATAGTTATAAGGAGTATCTTAGACTGGGGTCTATGTTGACTACTGGTGGTTAGCAGGGGTTAAGGGAATAGAACCCATATATAACCCCTATATAGTATATTCCCTTATTCCCTCCTAACCCCCAGTTAAGTCTGTTTAAGGTCTAGACCCTAAACCCTCTAAGCCCTCTAAACCCTAAACCCCCTTAACCCTAACCCTCCCCCCTAAACCCTAAACTCTAAACTAAACCCTAGCTGCAAAAAAAAACTAAACCCTAAACCTGGTGTAAGCCAAGGTTTGGTTCACTACCAGGTGAAGGGCTTTGCTGCAGCCAACCCGTACAAAGCAGAAGCCATCCACAACCTGAAGGCCGCCGTCTTGGTTTGGGGTTTAGGGTCTAGGGTTTTAGGGTTTGGGGGTTTAGGGTCTAAGGGTTTTAGGGTTTAGGATGGTTTAGCTTCGTAAACCTTCGACCCTCAATTAAGGGCTTGGATTTAGGGTTAACTCCAAGCTTTTAACCTCGGGTGTGCCTGTTCAGCGCGATGTGCGTGTTGAAGTAAATTGAAGCTCTTGAGTTCAGCTCTCCCAGATACTTGATGTGGTAGATTCCGTAAATTTCACGAAGCCCCAATATGGACTCCAAGTACTTGAATCCTTGTTAAAGGGACCTCTAAACCTTCAACCCTCGTTAAAGCGACCTCCCAGAAGGTATCCCGAACATTGGAAAGCCCCACTTGAGCAGTATTTTATTTGGGGACACTATGGTACCCAGTATAGAGTAAGATTCTATCCTCCTTTTGGGGTATAGTACTTTATATAACGAATGTAATCTTACGGGGTTTAACCACCAAAAAAAACACTACTCACTTGCCAGGTTGGAGCGGGCGAGGTGGTGCACCACCCGCTTTCGATCTTCAATCCATGGAAAGAAGCTGGTGTAAATACCAACTTGAACTACAGTTATAAAGTTCTTGATATACATATTTATATACACACAAATATGAATAAACAATATCAACTTAAACTACACCAATAAAGTCGTTTAGACATACAACCATATGTATATATATATATATGTGTGTTTTTGTTGTCTTGGGAGATTTTTTCTGAGATGGGGAAGGAAGCGGGTGCAAACAGGAGCTTTTGACAGTCGGGATGCCCGTACCTTGAGGACATATGGCTGTGGGCTGTGCGTTCTTCCGCCCCTTTCCTGGGCACACTAGGGTGCGCCCGTAAGGGGGAACAGAAAGGAGTTTTCGTAAATACAAACGGGCAAGCAACAACCTCCGGCGTGGGGCGAAATGAAAAGACGGTCGCCTCGGGGTGTTTCAACAAATTCCTTGGCCTTCGAACATCTTAGAACCCTGAAGCTATGAACCCAATATAACCCATTATAGTAGTTGTCATTTTCTTTTCCATGACCCTTATTATAGCCCTGTATTATACCCCTATATCATAGCCCCAATATAGCCCCAAAATTGAATCCCAGCAGGTGAAGCCCGACCTCTGATGAGCTAGAGAGAGTTGTGTTTAAGGGGGGCTCCAAGAAGAACAGCCTTCGTTTGGGCCTCACGGGTAGCTAGAATCTAAGGGCACCCAGCTGCAACTAAGGACCCTTTGCAGATTAGCCAGGTGGGCTCCGGGCTGTGATGCGTATGGCAGTCCCTCACCACCTCCATGGTCAAAACGTGGCAAATAGCGATGACCATAGCATCCACCAACCAGTACCAAGCATGTTGCACTTGACAGTTGTGCTGCTCTTCGCCTTAGGACATCTCAGGATTAGTCACCACAATGGCCGTCGCCACAGCCGCCACCGCCACAGCCATAACCTCTACTGCGATCATTGCCGCCGCTACCACAACAATCACCACAACCGCAGCCACTACCATAATCAGTATTAGTCCAACTCCTACTTCTGCTACTTCTATCACTGGTACGTACCGTTACTGCCTGCTGCTGCTGCTGCCGCCAATGCTGCTACGCCTGCTGCTACTGCTACTACTATACTACAAATACTGCATTGCCAACGAGGATTACCTACTACTCCTAGGTCCTGGCACCTCTGCCTGTACTTCTATTTCTTTATATGTCTACTGGTGCTACTGCGTCTTCTTATCTTCCACTGGCTGCTGCCACGGTTGCCGCTTCTGTTTCCTCCAACGCCGCCAATGCCGGCAGGTCTCTTCCAACGAATCCTTCATTCAGCTGCTAGCTCCTGAAGAGCTCCGCCAGGCGTGCAGTAGTTCAGTTTGCCCTGGAAAGTCAAAGTAATAGATGCCTTTCAGTTTATACACATGTCACTAGGGGTAGGAGAAGCTGTAGTCACCAATTCCATCTAAGGTTGCAGACATTGGGTTCATTGTGCAATGGGGTCACCACTGCCACCACTGTCACCACCATTACCGCCACTATCACCACCACCGGCACCGCCAGCGCCGCCATTGCCGCCACCACCACCACCACCACTGTCACCATCATCATCATCATCATCACCAAAATCATCACCATCACCATCACCATCACCATCATCATCATCATCATCGTCACCATCATCATCACCATCACCATCATCATCATCATCACCATCAAATTCATCACCATCACCATCATCATCCTCATCACCACCATCATCACCACTAGTGTTCTGTTCATGTGTGTCGCAACAGGTGAAAGTTGCTATGCCTGCTGTGCCAGGTGGGCCACAAGAACAGCCCGGCGGGCAGCAGTTTCATTTTAGCAGACAGGGCGGCTGGGGCTGCTTGCCATGCAGAGCAAGGTTCTGTCATCCAGGATTCATGCGTCATGTATATGGGGGTTCCCCAAAACTAGGGCTACCAATTGGGGGTCCCCATGCCAAGGATTATGGTATTTGGGGGTCCATGTTGGGCTCCGCATGTTTTGGGAAACTACCATGCGTAGTATGTTTTTTGGATTGTTTTTCTCTCGTCGTTTCTCTGTGGTGCTGCCACAGCTGATGCGAGCGCTACCGCCGCAACTACCATGAGTTTTAGTGCATGTGCCTGTTATCACCATATATCACCATCACCCACTGCTTTCGGCATCCACCACCGCCACCAGCTCCGCCACATCCGCCTCAGCTATTGGGAACTAACTCTTCGGTGATGAAATCTTTTGCAATATCTTGCGCTTGAATCGAATCCTAGAGAGGAGGATGGTTTGATCAGCTTTTCGAGTAGCGGATTTGCCCGTGCCGCATGTGTGTCGGCGTGTGTGTGCCTGTGTGTGCGTGTGTGCATGGCGGAGCCTTCTCCAAAATCATGGGCAGACAAGGACTGGACCATCCCGCCCGAACAGCATGGCATTGTGGGCTACACAAAGTTCACACTGCAGCAAGGAAACTCGTCAACGATGTTATGCAGGTAGCGTGACCCATCTCATTGCATGAGATGACTCCAAGGCCAGTATCAAGGCCGCTTGATTGGCAAGCAGGGTGTTTACCTGAAGCATCTAGCATCTGTGAGGGAGAAAGGGGCTCACTCAAGATAGGATGAAGCCTCCACGTGGCAGCAGTGGAGTCGATTGTGAAGCGGTCACGGGAGATCTTTGCTTCTGTCTGTTGAGGCTTTGTTGAGGTGAAGATGGAAGCAGAAGTGCCGCGAATTGTGGTGCCTGTCGTTCTCGGGGTAGTCAGATCGTCGGGCATCAAGCCACTTGGCGGCAACTTCCCGGCATGGTGTCTGCAGGCACAGCAAACTCTGCACAGGATATCGCCTGACATAGTTGATTTCCAGACCCTGGTGTCCTCTATTCAGGCAAGCTGCTGGGCTGCACGTGGGTGCTGTCTCTTCTTGAGAGGGGTCTTGCAATTCTGTGCCCGAGCAAGGCAAGGCCAGGCAAGATGCTCGGTGCATGTGCACCTAAGGATCTATTTGGCTCTCTGTCACGAACCTGAATCCGCAGCCAATTCAGCTGCTGTCTTTGTTCGACCCGACACAGAAGCCTGCCATTGCAGATGGCATCTCACAGATTTGCCAGTTGCAAGATCACTTTGCTACGAGGGGCAGTCGAATGCAACTGAGGAATCCGAATCTGCAGATATCTGGGTTTGATCACAAGAAAGGCGCCGCACACATCACGACGGCTTTCTCCCACTGTGGATGCTTTTACATTGACAAGCTCAACCAGGTATGAAACTAAACGAACCCGTGCTCCTGCAGGCATCAGTGTGGCGTCTGGATCGCAGGTGCGCTTTGCCAAAGTGACATACCATGGCTCCAGAGAAGGCCAAGTTCAGGGTCGCTTGGACTTTGTCGACCTAGCAATCTTGTGACGATGGACCAGGCAGAGGTGAGTACCTCACACCATGTGCGCGCGCGCAGCATGACTGAACCGAGGCAAGCTACAGCTCATAGTAAATGACACTGACGCCGTCTCTGCGACCATGGATGTGCCGTACAAGGCCAATGCAGCTTAGCTGCAGGAGTGGGTATTGCGGCAACCGCCGGCAGAACCTTGCATTCGGCAAGCCATGCATGCTTTCAAACGGAAATGCTTGTGCTAAGGTCCTCTATGGTTCTTTAGGTGGCCCAGCTGCAGCAGTTGTTCATGGAAGTTTTGACGTTTCGCAGCTTCATGCCAGCGAGAGGGCTTGTCCTTGGCTTGAGTCTGAGCAGGACTACTGGGTAGGAGATTGAGAGGGAGATGGAAAAGGAAATGGAAACTACTATAGTATTGGGGATATACAGAGGTTATATAAGGATGATGGAAAACAAAATGGAAACTACTATAAATACAACTTGTTTTCGGGCATCTCTTTGTCTGCCAGAACTCCATGTGAGTTGCGCAGGTTTCATGAACGACAAGACGAAGTTTCTGTCTACTCCCGGCAGGGTCACCTCAACGATGCGAGCAATCATGGTTTCAAACAATTTTTCCGAGCCTCAGACAGCATCAGTGTAGACAGGTCTGGGCTGCAGAAGTAGTCATAAAAGTAATAATAGTGACGGTATTAAGAGTAATAGTGTAAGAAGAGAGCCACCAAACATTTAACTTGGCATCACATAGTCCAATGGGCACAACGTTCAACTTGTCGGAAACACGCCTTTACTGGCAGCGTCATTGCCATAACCATATCACAAAAGAAGCCTAGACTGGGAATGTCTGTGACTTCACAGTTGTCGTAACTATCACCAGCTGAGACTGAGACAATGCAGTCAATCCCGTGCAGTCCCGTGCGCCGTGAGGTTCCGATCCAAATAAAGAGTGCGAAGATTGAGGCACGCCAGTGTCGCTCCAGTTGAATGTGTTGTCATGGAAGGCAGACTAGGCGTTCATGTTCGGAAAGAAGTGCAGCCCTCACAAAAATTCTCGGTTAAACCCTTCAACCACACAAAGACGTACACACAGCATAACTGCGATTGGGCCAGGATCCCAGCTTCAAGATTTCCCATTTCCAAGCAGACATCGTTCTGCAGCCGGGGGAGGTGCCTGGCATCCTAATGGCATCAACATGCTGCATATGAGCTGAAGACTGAACGCCTAGCCCCCTAATATTCGCCTTTATAATCCCCTACATAGCCCTCCCCTTTGAGGAATTTCGACTAAAGCTCACATGGGCAAGGTGTTATGCTTGTCCAGCACTACCAGTATGAATGTAGCTGCAGACGTTCATTTGTGGATAGGGTTCCAACCCAAGAGGCGTGAAGCGTGCAGCTTATTTCGAAGCTCGCAGGGACCATGGCAATTTTGAAGCGATCTAAGGCGACCTCCCTTATGCATCTGGAATACACGTCCAACGGAAGCAGCGTTGCAAACTCAGAAGAAGCGCTGTCTTGAAAGCATTGCTACATGCATCGCCTGGCCTAGATACTATGTACTAGAGACCTGGAGCTGGCTACAAATGTCACCGCACGAGCCCCAGCTTGTGATCCTATTCAAGCTGTGCACGTGTGTAGGTCCCCTTACATGACACGAGAGTTCAGGGCTCTTGAGGACGCATTATGTTGAACCACTCCCACGTAGATTTTTTGCAGGGCTCATGTGGGCTCTAACCATGTATCTACTTCAGCAAGGGCTTGAGTTGTACAGGTTGCCCATGCACTGATTGGACAAGCCGCAGGCCATGAAGATACCGCTGCAAGTCTACCACGGGAAGTTGTACTGCCAGGCGTGGGGATGTGTGTCATACATTTTCGAAAATGCTCAGGGAGCAAAAGCTCCAGTCTCTCTGTATGGAAAATCTAGCTTGTGACAGTGCTGAATGAGCATGTCAGGTAGAGCATGGTGAAGAACAAGACTGCAGTGCTGCAGCAAGTAGCCTTGCACCTGAGCGGCAATTTTGTAATCCACGAATTGCAGTGTTATGCTCTGACCATGCGCGCCTTTCATAGTGCCCTTGTCACAGTGAGGGGTGTGAGTGGGATTTCCTATGTTCCATGCGCGCACTTGAAAGACACTACTGGTCTGCGGCCTCCCAACTGTGCCCTCGCATTGCAGCTTTGTGGCCGAGGACCTGGATATGGGTCTTCTGAGCGTCTCTGAGGCTCGCAGATCCAGAAGCCTGACAAAAACGAGGTTACTCCTAACCTAGTCAGGGCCGTTGCCTGAGATTCCGCCGTTAGATTTTTTTTTCTGAAGGATGAGGTTTTCAAAAATTCCCTGCCGACTAGCCTAAAGGCAGCTCCTCTTTACCTGCATTAATAGTGAAACTTGTTCCACTTGTTGTATTCAAGGAATCAACATCACGCAACTTGATTGCAGAGGGCATATGTTTTTTTTTTGCACGCGGCAGCTTGTGCATAGTTGTCATTCAGAAGCTTTCTACTTAAAGTTTCTTGCGAACAATGGGAGCCAAGGAATCCAAATCCGGTCAATGTGACCATTGAGAGCTTTAGCTTCAACCATCCTAGCATCAGCCTGCACATGGATGGCATCTACAGTCCACAGGCCGGGTGTAATTTTGGGGTAAAAAGAGGCAAATGGACAATAACATGGAAACATGGAAGCTGCCATCATAGTATAAGGATTATATTGAGCATTTGGGGTGTTATAGGGGTAATGGAAATAACATGGAAACTACTATTTAGGGCTGAGGGTCTCAAGCATGATTTCGATATTACTGTTGGCAGCTGTCATAGTTGTCCCTTGTGCATTGCTGCAGCCCTGAGGGACAGCAGATCCGCCAATCCAGGCCGATTCCTAGGCAGTCGCAAACAAAAAAAGCAACTTGGTGCAGGAGGCTGATAAGAATATGTGGGTAGAATTTTATTTGCAGGACTTATGGTACCCAATATAGAGTAAGATAATGTCCTCCTTTTGGGGTATAGTAATATGTATAAGGAATATAATCTTACTAGGTTCAACCACCAAAAAACACTACTCATCTAAGGACAGTTTCCATGTCATTTTCATTTCAGCATTTTTGCTTTCCATTTGATTCTCTCCTATTGGAGTAATATCATATCCTTTTTTGGGGCTATGGTCATAGCATGCCAAGGCCTGGGCTTCGGGGGGTTCTGTGTTTTAAATCTTAGTTTTGGAAGCTGAGACCATTGTCTATAAACGAAGGGATCTGAAAGCAAGAGAAGAGAGCAGAGATATTTGTTCGCAGCATGTCTCGTATCCCGGCTACCTTCAAGAGAGGAGGAGGAGGTCTGCGGAAATGACGAGACAGTTTTGCTTCCTTTGTACACTAGCGTGATGTCACACTTCGAGATGACGAACGAGCTGACATGTCTTTCTGAGCTTAAGCCCCTGCTTGTACAGCGGGCCGCAGAAGTACGACACAAGACCAGACCTTCAATTCATGGCCTTTTCCCAAAGTAAGCACAAACTCCTTGCAGGACAATTGACAGCAGATCGTGCTAAAGCCCACCCTTATCTATCCTTATTTCTCCTCTGAGATGTAGGCCCCAAGAATACCCAAGATAAGGTAGATTCTAGCCCCCTTTATAATCCCCTACATTATGCCCCCTGCTCAATAACCCGTATGGTAGCCCCCCTGTATAATCCCCTACATTTTACCCCCCCTCCCCCCTACCACTGCGACTCCAAGCCTCAAGACCCAAAACCCCCTAAACTGGAAAACCTAAACCCTAAACCCTGTCCAAACCTCAATGACTCAGGTTTTGACGCTCCAGGCCGGCCATCGCCTCGCCTTGACGCTCGAGGTGCTGGCTCAGGAGCCATCTTTCCTTTCGGTGGCACAACTCGTCATGTGAACCAACTCGTAGGGTTTAGGGCTTAGGGTTTAGCGGTTATAGTCCCCCTTAAGTAGGTTATATTGGGATTATTTCGGGGTTATACAAGGATAGTGGAAAATAAAACGGAAACTACTATTTAGGGTTTGGGGTTTAGGGTTTAGGGTTGGGGTTGTCCCTCTTAAGTAGATAGAATATAGGGGTTATATTGGGTTAATGGAAAAGAAAATGGAAACTGCTATTTAGGGTTTAGGGTTTAGGGGGTCTACAGTCCCCCTTAAGTAGATAGAACATGGCTTTGGGTATACTTTAATAAGATCCCCATATATCCCATATTCTATCCACTTAAGGGGGACTATAGGTGAAGTAAGGGGGCCTAAGGGAGCTGGGACTGGCTTAGATTTGAACCTTGTCCTGTATCAGCGTCTCGTCGATCGGTCGTGCGTGGCACTCTAGCTAAAGACCTCGGATACCTTACTGGGACATCGCGTCATCATCTGGGCCTGGCGCTTCGTGCTTGGTAGGTCGTGGTGCTGAGACCATTGTTCCTCATACTCAGGTTTTCCCGCCCAACACTCACACACTCACCGCTAGGAGCCGACCACTGCTAGTGCACCTCCAGTGCCAGGGGCTTAGTGCGTTAACTTGCCCGACAGACGTGCAGCCTGCTGCGTCCACTCTTGAAAGAGCGCCTGCCCAGGAATGCCAGTGTCACTTTGGTCACCAAACGTGGCGAAAAGATCGTCATACGGATCAGGCATCGTAGGGGCGGCAATCAGACGTGACGGGAAGCGAACCATGACACGGATGCCACTGCCCCACATAGCCCCAATATACGTACTACAGTAGTTTCCATTTTCTTTTCCACTATTCCCTCCTACAAACCCAACATCGTGAACCCCTAGAGTCCATGCAGGTACGAGAGTGTTCTGGGCAGCCTCAGCTTCTCACCAGCCAGCTTGCGCTTTGAAGCATCGTTTCCAGGGCAGGTGGCCGGATTGCTTGGTTGCTTGTGTTTTTCCATGACCCCTACATAACCACCATACACTATATCACTATATATAACCCCGATAAATACCCTATTGTAATATAGTGGTTTCAATTTTCTTTTCTGGACACTTCAGGGTATATGGAGGACACCAAATGGCGACTTTGAGTTGTCATGGTAGGATCTGTCCCACTTCAGCTTGATTGAAAGCTTCTTGAACTGAGCAGTTGAAATAGATATGTGTGATCTCCGCGTGCGGCCTTTCGTGTTCGCGTTGCCCTCAGCGAGTTGGGGTTCTAGAACCTTCCTCATAAGGATGTGATGATTGCTAACAGCTGTTTTTTTAGGCAATTCATTGTATGACATTAGCTTTCTGTGCGGGACCCTGCAAACAAACTAACTAAGCATGCTGAAGGCTGTTATCTTTGACATAGTTCTGACTGCCATCTTGAATACAGAAATCATGCAGGCTCGGATCAGATTTCTCCTGGGTGAACCTGCCGCAACAAGCTCCCAACAATGCAGGCAAAAGGCTTCGTACCAAACCAATAAACCCTAAACCCTAAACAGTACCAAACCAATGTCATGACAGGTGCAAAGCCGTGTTGTGGCAGCCCGCTCTACCTTTGAGCAGCCTTTGCAGCTCAATGCAGGCAGAAGGGTGCCTCTACTGGGTAGCTGTTAAGGAATTTAGATTAAGTTACTATAATTAGGAAGCTCTATTATTCACAAGGTACCCATCTGTGTTATTACAGGGGGGGAATTTGGTGCAGCGACATCTTCGATCGCCTTGACTGTCTGGTGACGGTAGGGTTGCTTGCACAATTTTGCGTGATTTAAGTGTGAGGAAAACAGTAATAACAGTACCCAGTAATGAGAAGGACGCAATTGCAAGAAGTTTGAAACGGACAGGAGGGAGGTTTGGTCTTGAGCGGTAGACCTTGCGAAGCCAGTGAAGTGCCCTCCGCCGCATCAGTTTTGTGTTCTCAAATGCCATCTCCATAGCTCCTCAGTGCTAGCGTAGCAGCACCCCAAAACCTAAACCCTAACCCTAAATACAAATAATAGTTTCCATGTTACTTTCCAATATCCCAATGTAATCCCAATATATCCCAATGTAATCCCAATATAGCCCTATATAATCCCTATATAGTCCCCAAATCCTAAACCTTGTTCTTGTTGGCTTGTGACAGTTCGCTCGACGGACAGCCGGATCACCCCGGAGCTCCTGACCAAGACTTTGAAACCTTTGGCACGGACCGAGGTTGCAGCTTGCCGGCAAAGGCATACCACGATCTTAATAATGAGAATAGAAACACTAATAACAACAATAATAATAATATCAAGAGTAAACTAGCAGAAGTAATAGTCATGATGATATCAACAAGGGTAATAATAGTAATGAGAACCTAGGTAATGATTCAATGCCAATAAGGATGATAATGATAACCATAACAGTGGCCTACCATCATTCAGATCGTTTGCTGTAGCTCCTAAGTTCAAGCATCCATGTGGCTCAGGTACGTGTGTATTACGACCCAGCGAAGGCGCACTTTGACTTGCTGTACTTGGCCTCTTCTCCTAGAGCCCAAACACAGGAGATGGCTTTGTGAGGGGACGGGGACATACTGACATAGGGGGACCCTAGTATAGTAATGATGGGCACGCTGCCTGGTGCAAAGGTTATTCTTGACCTCTTGCATATGATCTCAGGGTCTAGGGTATCGGGTATGAAGACTGATGACTTCAACATAGTTAGAATTGACAAGGTGCGGGAGTGTTGTGTTGTGCCCGTGCCACTGGGGGCCAGAAGCACGCACAGAGTACGCACAGTAAGAATTGAGTTATTCGCTACATTGAAGTTGACGGCAACGATTTAGTGCTCAGAATCTTGTCGTCATCTTCCTCCCGCTCGTAGTTGTAGTCGACGGCGACGGCTACTACTTCAATTTCTACTTTCGCCACTGCCACTGCAACTGCTACGACTGCTGTTATGATCACCACAACTGCCTCTCTAGTACTTTTGGTAGTCCTAGCTAGTACTAGTCAACAAACATGATCACTAAACTCTGGTTCAGGGGGGTTGTTGTAGTCGCAGTAATCGGGGTGGTGCTGGTGCTTTCGCTTGCACTGCCCCTCGGGGTGGTGGCGGTGGCAGCAGTGGCGGTGGCGATGGCGACGGTGCCGGTGGTGGCGGCAGCGGTACAGTCAGTGATAGTTGTTTTGGCACTAGTGGTAGTGGTAGTGACAGCCGCGGCGGGTGGTGATGGTGATGGTGATGGTGATGGTGATGGTGATGGTGATGGTGGTGGTGGTGGTGGTGGTGGTGGCGGCGGCGGCGGCGGCGGCGGCGGCGGCGGCGGCGGTGATTGTGGTGGCGATGGCGGT